CCCACAACGATCAATAATAGCCACCTCGTCCATACCCTTGATAGTCCAAATGATGTCATTGTCAGAGAGAGACATAACCCTATAAGCCTAGCCAATGCCTTCTTTGTTCTTCAGAACTGATTTGGGGAGGTGAGAAATAAACCACCTCGCCAACAATGGAGCACATCACATCAAGGTTCCCTGCTTCCAAGAAGTACGGGCATAAAGCTGATGAAGAATGTCACCCAAGAGAGTGGGTACAAGATTACCAGAGATAAAGATTTTTACCGCATTCACATCAACAAAGGAGTCAGAGTTAGGAAACAATACCAATCCATATATCAGAAGAGCCAGAATATCTTCGAATGCCTGGAAGTCTAGACTATCCCAGAAATGATTAGCCTTACCAACCAAGAACTTAGTCAAAAAGCCCTTTGCTCCACTACGAGTTTCCCAATTAGCCATTACCTCAGCCTTTGTCAGATGAAGGGCTGAAGCAATCTCTTCTGGCCTAAGGATCTTCTCCCAACCTGTAAACGGGGTCTGATCCAGAATAGAGATACCAAGAAGATCGGATAACTCTTCCAAGGTGGGGACCAACTGGTAGTCCTGAAAAGTAAAGCAATTGTACAGTGGATCAAAGAACTGGACTAGGACACTCATCATCTGCTCGTCCAGTTTGGAAGTGACCAAACTAAGAAGATGCCCATGTCTTCTGATGAATGAGGTAGTATCATATATCTTTGCAACCAATTCTTTAAGCAGAGTGGGAACCTGGACAAAGTTGATCCGGATGGTGTTCCTACGCATAGGTGCCATGACCTACAAAACAGAACAAAGATGAATCCCTCTTGTCTTTGAAATAGGTTAGTCCGATGCAAGATGTATGCAATGTTATGATGTCATGATGTCATGATAGAAAGCACACCACAAGTATCCACAAATAGCAAACATGGTAAAGGCACACAAGTAACACAGAGAGCCCTTAGATTTCAGGCTGGCAAGGAGTCTATGTACTACCCTCTTTCAGTTCAGTTGGTTCAAACCTGTCCTAAAAATAGTAACCGGGTTCTAGAGGATCTCAATATCACTGACTACCCTCGATCGGTTATAATTCCAATTTAGCAACCTTTTCTTGCGGCCAGAATCATCGCGAGAGTTTAGTCTCAATAAGTGTAGCATACTGCTACTGTTCTATGGCCAAGTTGGTCAATTTAAAGGTTCTAAGGTCAGTTGGTGCTTAATGACCCCTTAGCAGACCCATATTCTCCTCGCTGCGCCACAAGGGATATCGGTACATACTAAAGTGCCACACCAATGTAGCTACTGCTTCAACCGTATTGGTCAACGTCGTACAGTTCCCTCACAGTTTATTGCTACTTACCTAAAGGGTATCCCCAGATCCGGGTTAGGATCTATAGTAACTCCGATACAAGCCCACAAATATAAAGCATACAAGTCAAGCAATTGAAAACATTATGAACTATTCCTAAGGTACACCCCACTTATTAAGCGTCCCCAGCAGAGTCGCCAGTTCTGTGATACGGTGGAAAGAACTGACTGTTTTTTGGAATGTTGGTTTGCATTTTGCGTTTGTTTTCACAAAATATCGCGGTAAGCAAGAGTCACCACCGACTTTTGTTTTATCCAACAAGGAAAGGAAAAAAGCACAGAAAAATTCCTTTTTCGAGATATTTCTCGGGTTCGGGGGGTAGATTATAGAAAGGGAAGGTGTCATCACCCTTTCTATCCATGGTTATCCATGGGCTCTTAGGTACTTGCTCATATTGTTTTCAAAATTGCTTTTCTTTGTGCTTGTAGGTTTGAAAAAAGTTTTTGTTTTGAAACTTCGTTTTAACTCTTGCTTCTGTCCTCAAGATCGTATGAAGTGTTTTGGAAAACTTTGTTCGAAAAGTGTAAGTGTGAAGAGTTTTTGTTTTTAAAAGAGCAAGTATCTAAGAACCATCTACCTACTCGAAAAAGGAATCGTTCTATGCTATCTTCCTTTAGACAATGCTATCCTACTATTGATGAGTAGGTAGCACCGTCGTTGGAGTTTAAGGGTCAATTCGAATGCAGGACTTACGGTCACCAAAGCAATGTTAGGACGCCTTAGCGGTAACCCTAATGTCTTAGATCATTTATTTTGAGGCAACTGTATCCGAGGCAACTGTTTCGAGGCAACTGTGATCTTTGGACAAGAGGGCGACCTCTAAAACTACCTATACTTAATGACCGCGTACGAAGGCAACCAAGTGGGGTGTACCCTAAGAGTGCACATGTGCGAGTGTGTTGTTTTTCAGCTATTTTTATCTTTGTACATGTTAATGGTTATCTAAGTTGATTTTAGGTTAAAACATTCAATCTTGTCATGCATCCCTATTATCAAACATCTAACAGTTATATTTTGCGGAAAATAAATTGCGGAAATTAAATTACAAGGCGTCGGGTATTTACATCACCAAAAGCAACCCTTTGAAATTTAAATGCAGAAAAATAAATAAAGCGATAAAAATAATTAAATGGTCCTAATTATCTATTACATTCCGGGAGCAAGTACAATATTGAATAAAAGAAAGTAAATCGCATGCGAGAAATTAAATCGAGCGCATTTAGGGTTTTGACCCTTTTTTGTTAAAGAAAATATTTTTTTTATTGTTTTGAGAAATATGAGAGGGCAAATTTTGGGGTACAACAGCTGAATCTCACCAAACAAATCCAAATACCATTATCTGAATGACCAAGGTTTTAAAATTGCATGTAATTTACTTGTAGGTATATGCTGAATGCATGCATGTATTTGACACTTTTGATATCCTTTGGCGAATTCAATATAGTCTTTTAGCATTGTAGGCCAATAAATACCTTGTCGAAATAATAACCATTTCATTTTATGTCCAGCATGATGGGCACCACAAGCTCCACTATGGATATTTGATAAGGCTAAGTTTGCTTTGCCTTCGCTAAGACACTTGAGCAAAACACCTTCAGGTGTCTTTTTGAACAATTTGTTCCCTATGATAACTTATCTTAGAGATTGATACTTGATCTTTCGATCGGTCGACCCTATTGGGTTTTCTAGATAATTAACTATTGGTCTTTGCCAATCAGTATCTATCAAATTGTCAATGGAAAAAATCTCAAAGTTTTCAGGATCTACAGATCCTAATTTCGTTATTGAAAAATCCGAAGGAGATATCTCATCACCATTACCCTTCCTCGAACTTCAATTAATTCTTCCAACTTTCTTTTTGACTCTTTGTATCCTGAAGCAATCTGGGGCAGATCATTTGCCTCTTGATTCTCGAGTCAAGGGACATGCTGAATAACAACAAAATCAAAGCATTTTAAAAGTCGATTTACTATAATAAAGTACATTATCAAGTTCTCCTTAATATATCTATACTCTTTTTTTTGTTATATGCTTGACGACCAACTCAAAGTCTCCTCTTATTTTGACTATTTTTGCCCCCAAATCTAACAAAATTTCAAGGCTAACTACCAAAGCTTTGTATTCGATTTCGTTATTTGAGCAAGAGTCGTTGATCTTGTACTTAAACTTCGTTTGAACCTTATTGGTAGAAATGATCAAACTTCTAATATCAGTTTCATTTTTATGGCTAGAACCATCAAAGTACAACTCCAAGGTTCAGGCTCCAGATAATTTTGAGGTGCCTCAACTATCGCATGATCTACAATGAAGTCAGTGACAACCTGTCCTTTCATATCCTTTAAAGGCACACATGTTAAGGAATATTCAGTAAGGACAAGAGTCCATTTCCAATTCGACTATGCAAAATTGGCTTAGATAACATGTGCTTAATGATATCGAAATGAAAAGAAACATAAACATCAACGAGTTTTATATAATGCTTAAGTTTCATGAAAGAAAAGTACAAACATATGCATAACTTTTCTATCAGGCTATACCTAGTTTCTAAATCATTCAAGACTCGACTGAGGTAATAAATGGGCCTTTCGACACCATCATCGTCCTCTTGAACTAACATACTTCTTATGGTCAAGTCCGAAGAAGAAATATATATAATATCATGCACTTATTTCTAACAATAGGAGCCAATATCAGAGGGTGCATCAAGTATTCCTTTATTTCGTCAAAAGTCCTTTGATTTTCTTGTTTCCATTTGAACCCTTCTTTCTTTAAGCTAAGTAATGGCGAGAATGCTTCAGTCCTGCCACTAAGATTCAATATAAACCTTCTTAAAAAATTGATCTTCCCCAACAAAGATTGGAGCTTTTTCTTAGTCGAAGGAGGTCTAGTTTTTATAATGGCTTTTGTCTTATTTTGGTTTATCTCGATGCCCTTTTTATGAAAAATTAAATCAAGGAAATCTTCAGCCTGCATACAAAAAGCAAGCTTAAGAGGGTTTATTTTCAGTCCATACTTTCTCATTCTTTTGAGCGATTGTCGAAGATGGTCTAGATGACCATATCTTGACACAGACTTAATGACTATATTATCAATGTATATTTGCATAAAAATTTCGATATAATCATGGAAAATCTAATTCATTACCCTTTGGTAAGTTGCCCCGACATCCTTTAAACCAAATGGCATCACTACCCATTCATAGGTGCATAAGGCTCATGGGCATCAAAATTTCATTTTCGATACATCCTCATCTGCAATAAATATTTGATTGTAACCAGAATAACCATCGAACATATTGAGATAATTGAATTCCGCTATTGAATCAACCAACATTTCAACGACAAATATTAGATATACGTCTTTTGTAGTCGCAATGTTCAAGTCTCTAAAATCTATGCAAAGTTATCATATTATTTTTCAGGAATAATCACAGCTTAAAAAAATTATCATATTATTTTTCAGAAATAATCACAAATTTTGTCTCTATCTCTATGTGATTCCTTTAAGTTGTTTTTAAATTTCCTTTTCAATTAAAAGAAATTGAATTATTTTGGATATTATAAATATTTTTTTAGGCAGAAAGGGAGTATTAGAAAAGTGATCATGTAGTAAAGTGAGGCAAGAGAGAATGCAATCAAGTAGGCTTTTGTTGTGTTCCTCTCAATCCTTGTTTGGGCCAGCCGTCACTACTACTCTCCCCCCTTGTCTTAGATTCCCACCACACTCCATAGCAATCGCAAGTTCAACTTCATCTCCGATTCGCTTACGACCCCTGCGCTCCACTACTTCATGTACCATCTCTCTCTCTCTCTCTCTCTCTCTCTCTCTCTCTCTCTCTCTCTCTCACACACACACACACGCAATCTTCTTTTATTGATCAGCGAGTTCCTCTTCGCAAGTTCCAGTAATGGCTTCCAAGGATTCTCTAGTTCAAGACCCGCGTATAGCTGGAATCTCATCCGCGATCCGTATCATCCCCGACTTTCCCAAGCCAGGTCAATACTCTCTTTTTTTTCTCGATCCGTAAATTTTCACTCTTCGTTCTCGCTGTATGATAATTAATATGGTTCATTTTTTCTCCATTGTTAGGGATTATGTTTCAGGATATAACCACACTGCTTCTCGATCCAAAGGCTTTCAAAGATACCATTGATTTGTTTGTTGAAAGATACAGAGATCAAAACATTTCTGTAGTAGCAGGTTTTATTCAATTCTACCCTATTTCTAATGGCAATTTCATGTTTCTGTTTGCTTGGTCTTTTTGAATTTATCATAACTTGAAATGTACAATTTTTCTTCTGTTTATGATGGCTTTATTTATGACATAACGCAGGTGTTGAAGCAAGGGGCTTTATTTTTGGCCCACCCATCGCGTTGGCGATCGGAGCAAAATTTGTTCCAATGAGGAAACCCAAAAAATTGCCAGGTATATGTTTTGCATAAGTTTCTTTAACTTTTATATGCATATACTCTCTTCAGAACTTCCTGCACAGCAAGTTGTTTTGATTTGAGATCTTTGATAGCTCTAGCAGTTTCTGTGATGGGGAAGATCTTTGATTTGTTTGAATGGTTGTGTTTCAATTATCTTTTTTCAGGAGAGGTTATCTCAGAAGAGTATTCTTTGGAGTATGGAACTGACAAAATAGAAATGCACGTAGGGGCCGTACAACCTGGAGAAAGAGCCCTAGTCATAGATGATCTTATAGCCACTGGTGGAACCTTAAATGCGGCGATTAAGCTACTAGGTAACTAGTCAACGCCACTGATTTATTAACAAAGAAAATCCATTACGTGAATGTAGGGGAAGTTAATTTTTCATCTGTTTAACAGCTGTGCATGAGTGGGGTACTTTGTTTAGTTTCATATGAGAGATCTATCTCTTTTACAGTGATTGCTGTGGGCTGGAAGTTTTTTGTATCTTATACTAGAAGATGATTTGCGGTTTTGTTTGTGGAGTAAAGAAAATTTTCAAGTTGTGAAAATAACAGACATGAGCTTAGGTTTTCTTATTGAATTAAAAAAGATCATCCTATCAATGTTCATAGGTTTCACTATTTTCTTCTTTCTATTTGTTTTTACATTCAGACAAATAATGCATGTATAATAATGCATGTATAAAGGTTCCTTTAATGCGGAGACAATTGGATGCCTCACATCTGGTGATGAACCTAATAATATCCTTTGATCTACCACAAACACTGTATTTTCAATTAAGATTTTTACCGGGAGGCACATTTTATATTATGTTTAATGCTTAACTTCAGCCTTTTAATACATTCTCAGCTGTTCTACTTATCTTCTCTCTATTGCAGAACGTGTTGGGGTGAATGTTGTTGAGTGTGCTTGTGTGATTGAACTACCGGAGTTAAAGGTACAACCTTACCTAGTTGTTTGGATCAATTTATTTGTTACATATATGATACTTTTTTTAAGCTTTTAATTTCATATTTTTAAATAATTAAATGAATTCTGGAATTTGGATGGCTGTTATCTTTGTAAGTCAGCTTGCATTTCTGAAACTCAAGCAGCATAAGCAGAACTAAAAAACGGTGGTGGTAAAAATTGAATTATATGTCCAAATTTTGTTTTTTAGGGAGACATCTAAAATATTATTGCAATAGACACAGTCCAGAGTAGTTTGTGCACAGAGCCCAATTTCTAATCTAAGTACCTCCTACTAAGTTTTTACCAAACCAACTAGATTTTATCGGGTGTATTTGGATTGACGGTGGACAAAATTGATTCTAGTAAAATTGAGTTTGGTAGAATTGATTTAATCAGAATTGAGTTTAGCATAATTGATTTATATTTGGATACATTTATGTAAAAATGAGTTAAACAATAAATTTTAGTGTAAAAATAATTTAGAAGCAATTCTGGAGGCAAAAACTACAAATTCTAGCTTCAAGTAGAATCAATTCTGGAGACAAAATCAATTCTACTTTTGCCTAGTCAAACATCTCAAAATCACCTTGAATCAATTTTACACCTCTAGAATTGTTTTTGACCCTTCCAAAAGCCAAACCAAACATGCACTGAATATGCATCATATCTAACCAAGAATGTCTCATCAGTCCATTATGTTCCTCGATTCTGGTGTGGAAAAAAGGCAACAAAGACAAAAATTGTTTGGACTTACGAGTTCAATGCTCATCAGTAGTGGGGGATTGATTGCTGCTTTCCTTTCTTGATCTATATTGTACGAATTAAAAATAGTACAAACACACATTGCCATATAAACTCCTCTCTTCTCTACTGGCAATTGCCTTCCATGGTTTGTTAGAGTTTCGTACCCTTGAAGTGTTGCTCTTATTAGTGATAATATGTGACTAAGTTGGCTTGTCCTCCGACCTTCCACAGTTTGTTAGAGTTTCTTACCCTTGAAGTGTTGTTCTTATTAGTGATAATATGTTTCTAAGTAGGCTTGTTCTTTGATCTTTTGTTTTGATTATAAGAAAGGCGGTAACTTCTGCATTCACGTATTCTGAACTGTTTCAAAGTATGTAACTATGATAGGTTTTAAGTGTTGATAATAGCTTCTCAAGTACATTACATGAATACTAAGTACCAAATCTTGCACGCTGCGACTGAAAATTCATTGTTATGAATAGTTCTCTTGCTTTTGGCTTATTTCAGGGGAGAGAAAAGCTGGGCGGCAGATCATTGTTCGTGTTAGTTGAAGGAGAAGGAGCTTGATATTTGTGGATGTGATCATGTTCTAATTATTTACCGTTTGAGCTGGCTCTTGTTAGGAGCATTATTGATGACTTTAGATGAGATTTATTGCAGAAAACTCAATTGTTTGTGAGCTCAGTTCACATTAAGGGTTATTTTTAAAATAAAAACGTTGTGTTTTTTTAGTAAAGAACCAAAAGAGTGGTCAGGCTCGAGCTTTTCTGTATGCAACATTATCTTATTTTGATATCGAAGACTTGTTTTCCATTTTTGTAGTGCAAGATCCTATGTTACGTAATTTGTTTGCATTATTACTACTTACAAATAGAGCTCTCCTTAGTAAGATTAAGACCGAACAAATCTTAACATCTGAAATGCAAGACGGGGACCTGTGAAGTATAAAATTGAACGGGTTAGGCTGGAACAGGGAAGGGGAACCTTGGTTGTCATGTCGGTATTTGGATTACTTAAGGGCATTGTTCTTCGCACTGTCTAGACCAGTTTGATCAAACCTTCCTTCTTCATTTCAGAAACTCACTCCCACACCCTCCCTCACAAGCCGGAACACTCTCCACACCAAACACATAACACATAACTTTAGTGAAGAGATTTTAAAAGGTGATGTGGGCCAAAAGCAACATACAAGCTCAAAAATAATGAATACAGGAACCTTATCCCAGAGATGGAAGAAGAGATATATAGAGAAACATAGTGTAGTAAATAGAAGATCTTAGAAGCTCAAAATCAGCTAATGTGTCAAAGGTTGTTGAGGTAGAAACGTACAGCAAGGGAGATCTAGAAAAGAAATCATCTTAACAATTCCAGACGCAATATGAACAAAGATCGTAAATTCTGAGCAAGATCAAATTCCAGATCTAATAGGGGAGTCAAAGCAGGTAAATGCCTATGAAGATGATAAGTTACATTATTGGGGGTTGGCTAAGAAAAAAGAAGTGCAAAAATTAATTCTAAAGCAGAAACCTTTTTTGATCAGTATCTAAGAAACAAATATGGAGATTATTGAGAGGTCTCTGTGTTACTCGTTCTGGAGATCAAACGATTTTGATTTCGCGTTTAAACCGTCGGAAGGCAGATCTGGCAAATGGGAGAAGGAAGAAAGTTTGTGTCTAATGGGAGATTTCAATGCAATCATAGAAATATCTGAAAGAAAAGGGGGTGGTGAAAGTGTTAAAAGGGTCGAGATAGAAGATTTTGATGATTTCATATCAATGTCAGAGCTGGTTGATTTTCTGTTGCACGATAGAAGATTTAGCTGGTTTAGACCCAGGGATGTTGTGATGAGATGATTGGAAAAATTCATTATCTCTGACAAGTGGGTTACAACCTGGCCTAATTGTAAACAATGGTGTCTAAATAAGGAATTATCCGACCACTGTCTCACTATGTATGTAGAGCTGATAAAACGGGCTACTCGGTCCGCTTCGGATGGGCTTAAAAGTCTGGAATTTAAATGGGCTATAATTTAGGTGTCTAAATCCCGTTCTTCATAGCTACGGTTATTTGGGCTGGCCCGAATAAATATTTAATATTGATTTTTAAATAAATAAATTAATTAATTAATAGACTATAAACTAAAAAACTAAAAAATATAAGACTATTGATCACTAAAAAATATAAATCAATTACATTCATAACACCTAAGATAAAAACATCATAAAAATAAATTATTTTAATTAAATAATCGAGATTCAAGTTGAGATATTAATAGTATAATATATTATAAAATGGACATTAGTAGTAAAATCTATTATAAAATGAACACTTTTATTTTATTAAAAAATAATGTAGATATTAGTTGTATAATATATTATAGTTTTTATAAAAAAAGTAGAAAAAAAGTTAAATAAGTGGGCAACCCGCAACCTGATTGGACTAGCCTGATTAACATCAAGTTTTTAACGGGCCAGGCTGAAAAGTCTAGATAATAAACGAGTTCAAATTTTTTGGCTGCTTTCGGGTCGGTCCGGCCCATTTTGCCGGCTCTAATGTCATGCGATCCAGTTCAAGATTGGAGACCAAAACCATTCCGCATGCTAAATTGTTGGAAGGAAATGCAAGGGTATCACAACTTCGTCATCGAGAATTGGCGTGACATTAAGGTGGAAGGGTGTGGAATGTTTCCGTTGAAAGAAAAGTTCAAAAGGATTAAGAAAAGACTCAAAGTATGGCTCAAGAGTCACACTCAAACTTGGAAGGAAGAATTCAGTAGGCAAAGGAAACATTTAATCAACTAGAGATTCAAAGGGAAAGCATAACCCTAACAAAGGAGGAGTTGAAAGCCAAAAGAGAGATCTCAATAGATTTACTTAATCTTTCGAGATTAAATTTTAGTATCTAGTAGAAAAAGGCTCGATCAAGATGGTTAAAGGACACATATTCTAACACTAAATACTTCCATAGATGCATAAATAATAGAAAAATAGTTAATTAAATTCTTAGCCTGGACGTGAGCGGAAGAAGGGTTACAGAAGCGAAGGAAATAAGAAATAAGATTTTTGAGCATTTTAGTCGTCAATTTACATCATTGGAAGCAAGAGTGATTCTGAAAAACTTAAACTTTAAAAGTATTGAAAAAAGCTTAATAAAGAATTGGTGCGAGAATTTTTGGAAAGGGGAAGTTAGAAAAGCAGTGTGGGAGTGTGATAGCGACAAAATCCCAGGGTCGGACAAAGTGAATTTTTAATTTGTGAAAGAATTTTGGGAGGAAATCAAACAAAACTGACTTTTTGAGAGTTATGGCCGAATTTCATGAATTTGGAAGGGTGGTTAAGGGTGCTAATAGTTTCTTCGTGGTGTCGATTCCTAAGAAGAGAGTTCCAATGAGTATATCAAACTACAGACCAATTTCTATGATAGGGTTCATATACAAGGTAGTATCTAAAGTCCTCGCTAACAGGTTAAAAAGAGTGATAACAGCTGTTATTTCAAATACACAGTCGACTTTCATATCTGGTAGGAAGATCTTTGACGGGATTCTCATTGCAAATGAAATTGTGGACGAGGCTAGGAGAAATAAAAAAGAGGTTTTAATGTTTAAATTCGAATTCAAGAAAGCCTACGACTCGGTGGATTGGAATTTTCTTAACTATGTGATGACAAAGACGGGGTTTCATGAGAAATGGAGGAGATGGATAACAAAATGTTTGAGAACTTCTTCAGTGTCAGTGCTTGTTAATGATAGCCCGACCAAAGAAATGAGGAAGGAACATGGTTTAAGGTGGGGAGACCCCTTATCACCATTTATCAGTGGTTACAAATTCGAGAATATAGAAGATCAGTTCTCCCACTTAAAATATGCGGATGGCACTCTGATATTAGAGGGAAAAAGGTGGACACATATTCGTATAAAAAGGCTAATCTACTCCTCTTCGAATCTATGTCATGTCTCAAGGTGAACTTTAACAAGAGTTTATTAGTAGAGGTAAATATTCATCATAGGGGGCTCTAAGAAGTAGAAAACATCTTGAATTGTCAATCGGGTTCTTTCCCGTTCAAATATCTCAGACTCCCAATTGAAGCTAATTTGAGTAGAATTAAAACTTGACATTCGGTGATTGAAGCTGTAAGGTTCGGATTGGCTAGATAGAGGAACCGTCATTTATTTATTGGTGTCCGAGTGGCGTTGTTAAAATCAATGCTATATGCACTTCTGGTATACTTCCTTTCATTCTTCAAGGCTCCTTCGGGTATTATTTCTAATATAGAATCTATTTTCAAAACAAATCTGTGGGGTGGGAGTGAGAATAAGAGGAAAATCTATTGGGTCCATTGGGACATGGTGCGAGTTCTTTAGATGAAGGGGACTGTGAATTATTAATTTGAAAATTTTCAACAATGCTCTCCTTGGAAAATGGAAGTGGGAAATTAAAATGGAAAGGGGTGGGTTATGGCCCAATGCTTTGAAGAATAGATACGGGGGAATAAAGGTTAGTAATGGAACAATGAGTAGTAGCAGATCTCATTGGTTGAGAGATTTGTGTGATTTAGGTGTTGGAGTATGGGAAAAATCAAGTTGCTTTACTGTTAAAGAGACTTATAGAGACCTTCTTTCTAGTGTCCCTAATCACTCTAACCTCTTTGTTGGCTAAATCTTGGCATAAATCAATCTCTGTGAAAGTTTCATGTCTAATCTAGAGGTTGTTTTAAAATAGAATAGCTATGAAAGATAACATTTCTAAGAGGTGTGTCATTAGGCTAGGATCTCTTGGCTATGTCGAAGAGCGTGGGGGCGAAGAATCAGTTTCACATTTGTTTTTTTTAGTGTTCTTTTTTGCAGGTTTGTGGCTAAGCGTCTAGAATTGGCTTCTGATACATACTGCTTTTCTAAAAAAGGGATTGGCACATTTATCTCAATTTGCAGGTCTGATTGTAGGTGGAAGGGAAGTATCGTCTAAAGTTAGCGTGGTCTAGTTTGCATGTGTGTGGAGTATTTGGAAAGCTATGAATGAAAAATTATTCAGCAACAAGGATTTGGACGCAGGAAAGTGACCGAGGATGCTAAAGAATTCTCTTGGAGGTGGTTGTCCACAACAGGTAGAAGATTGAATTTTAGCTTTACTTAATGGTGCGTGAATCCAAGGGCATGTATTAGTATTACTGATTTGTAACTCCTAGCTCAGCAGGGTGGTTTCGTGAAGAGGCTCGTTTTCAAAAATGTTTTTGGTGGCAGTAGTGCAGAGTTTTGGCGATGCAAGCCCAATCTTATCTACTTGTTATTTTGATCTTGTGCTTTAGGGTCCCGCTTCCTTTTTATCGTGAAGAAAAATGTATTTGTTATGTTGAAGTTAGTTTGCTCATCTCGATCAATTTTGAATATTTTCTGTAGCAGCATGGGTATGGGAGTTTTTGGTCTTAAGTGTTGGTGTTTGGTGTTTAATTCTGGTTTGGGCAGTATTTTAGTTTTTCTTTCTGCTGGTTGTGGTGGGCTTATTTTATTTAGTGGTGTGGGGGTTTTGTAGGCCTGTTTTTGTGAACTAGTGTATTAGTATTGGCTTGTATTCTTAGGCATTCCTTATGCCTTTATATAATTAAGTTGACCCCTTTTTCTCTTTCAAAAAAACTTTATATTGTTGGATAATGCGAGCTATTGTCTCAGTCGTTTAAAATTCCTTTATAAACTCTTTATATCTGCTATGCATAACGAGGTGACACTCGTTTCCCCTGCAAGGGTAGGGGTTTTAATAAAGTGTCCCAGCTTTGTATTGTTTTAGATTTTGTAGGGTCACATGCTGAAAAGGACCGGTGAAACCTTGAAGTAATTATTGGACCTTCATTGAAGATCTTTTCCGCCTCTTAAGGAAATACATGAATGTTGGACTTCCATAAAAGATCCTTGCCTCCTGATGACATGTTGTCATTGCACGTCATTTAGCATGAAAAATAAGACAAAGCAAACTTAAAATGAGCAAGTTAGAAGAAAAAGTGTGGAAAAAGCATGAAAAAGTAACCAAGGGAGAAGAAAAGGACTTAGTGTGAAAATTTGTGAAAAAAGGAACAAAAACACGCTGAAGCTACTGGAAAAAACATGCCTACACTACTCTAGAACACGGCCATGTTCCCATCATCATTACACAATGCGCCCGTGTTGGTCTTTAGCGCGACCGTGTTAGGACGTGTGCCTGACGGGATTTTGTTGGCTTTAAAAGGAAAAATAGGAGAAGAAAAGGGGTTCAATTATCAAGAGAGAAAGTGACAAACTTGGAAAATTTTGGAAGCTTTTAGAGGCAATTGGAGCCATTGGAGAGCTTTTTCTTCGATGTTTTTTCATGATCTTCGAATCTACACTTATGGCATTTATTTATTTCAACCTGAGTAGCTAGATTCCTCTTAGGTTACATTTTATTTGATGATGAACCTATTTGTATTTGATTGGAACAAATGATTGAATGGTGCTAATGTAATTGTCTTGATGACTCTTTGTTATTATTCAATAATTGATTATGCTCATTTTGTACTGTTTATTATGGAATTCGATTTGATCTTGATAAGTAGTGACTACTGACCCCATGTCTATTTATCTGAACTAATTTAACTGTTGAGTTTTCTAATTGACTAGGGATAGTTTAGTTAGGAATTGTGACTTAGGGACTAACATGCTTTATTACCTAGTTTGACGATACAATTGGTTGGGAGATAAGGGAATTGACGCTTAGGCTAGTAAGTTGCACACCAAGGGATTGAGTGTAGTGGTAGAGTTAGTCTTTTATGTAACTTTGTAGTCATTGCATGTCTGTTAACGTGTGTTTCATCAATCAAGTAGAAATAGAGAATTCTGATAATAAAGACA